GTTGGTGAGAGAAACAACCTGAAGTAAATATAAGTGCACTGGATGTCGGCCCACATGGGCACAGAAAGAGTGTGTGCCGATGACAGTCTGGTTCCAGTGTGGGGGGGTTTGTGAGCACTTCCGGTCAGTTGTTTCCAGTCTAGGCTGTGAGACAAGAATGGGGAAGGTCTTGCCCCACCCAGATTCTCTGGCTTCCAAGTGGGGTATCAAGTTGGGGGGCTCTAGACCATCAAGGTCATGGGAGCATCCTTGTAAGATCATCCCAGAGAGTGAGTGAGGAAGAGTGTCTTCCTCTTTTACTACTTGGGGTGGCCAGAGCAGGACGTTCAGTACGTAACCTACCAGGAAACCACTGGCAAAATCAGCAGTGTCTTTCATATAAGGAGACCTTTGTGGTTGTCACCCTGCCCTTCCTTATACTTTGGGGGTGAGGCTGTTCCTCTGTGTGTAGACTTCTGGGAGACATAATGGGTGTGGTCACTGTCACTATGGGTTCTGAGTTTTTCTAGATGTTGGCAGTGGGCCCTGGTAGGAATCCCCTGCCCATGACATTTCTCTACAAAGGAGTGGCCTTGTACCCACCACGGTTGCCGGAAGGTTCTTTCTGTTATGGGCGTCCCGTTCCAGGGTCCCCCTGAGTCTCTGCACTCCTCCTTGTGTGGGCAGGGGTGAGGTCTGGAGTCCTGGCTTGTGACGTGGGTCCATGAGCGGTGGAAGGACTCTGAGAGAACCTTGCTGCCACACATAATTAACTGTCTTTGGTTCCCCAGATTGGAAACCCTTGGAAGAAATCTGGAGTAAGAGACAAGTGAACAGCTCACTGGGCCTGTTCCTGGATGCAACCAGCAGTGGACCCAGGGCGGTAACCCAGACGCCTTTCACCTGAAATGGCTTTCAGGGTAGGAATTAGGCAAAGGGAAGCATAGGTGCTCACCAGGGATCCGAGGGTGAGGCTGGACTACAGAACTTCAGCATTGAGGACTTTGTGGTTTTGTGTTGGTGAGTGTTGTCTTGTGCCACATATTCCATTCACACGTGTCAAAAACACAACCTGTTTGCTCACAAGAAGCCCAGTTTTCATTGTAGATTCTTCTGGCCAGTTAAAAGACTTCCCTCTCAGCTCTCTGTACCAAATTCACATGCTGCACCTCTGGTCAAGGATGCCTAGAACCTCACCTCACCAAGAAATTTCTGTCTTGGTCCTGGGCCTGACTTTGTCCACGTCCCACCCACTGCCCCTTGGCACTTAGGTATTTAGTCTGCAGAGAACGAGATCTCCGAGTAAGGTGTGTGTGCACCTGCCCCATTGTCTGTGAGCTGCTGGGCTGCTGGGAGCCTCGGCATTCTGTCCTTGTGACTGCTGGCCCTGGTGGTCACAGTCAAGGCTGCTCTGAGAAGTCCTCTCACTGTCCCAGCCTATTATTTCTAGACTCTCAGGTTTGTTTGGAAATAGCCCAACCTGTTGACTTCATCTGTTGGTACTTTCTTGTACTTTTTGTTGTTGTTGTTGTTGTTGTTTTTGAGACAGGGTTTCTCTGTGTTGTTTTGGTGCCTGTCCTGGATCTTGCTCTGTAGACCAGGCTGGTCTCGAACTCACAGAGATCTGCCTGCCTCTGCTTCTCGAGTGCTGGGATTAAAGGTGTGCACCACTGCTGCCCAGCTTCTTGTGCGTCTCGTGTTGACAGGAAGCCCAAAGTCTCATATGACTTTGTGCTTTCAGAGTCTAGCCTGACACCACTGGGTGAGAGGAGGGACTTCTGAGGGACTCGGAGTCAGTGGGAGGACATGACCAGGGCTCTTATAGTATTATCTGATTTCACCAGGTCTGTTTTACTTAACATTAGACTTCACTCTTTGTGTTTGTTTATGGGGTACTGTGCATGTATTTTCATGTGTCCTGGTATACCTGCACCTCTATATGCTTGTGCATAGAGGTCAGAGGTTCCTCAGGAGCAATCCTCTGGGATTGCATGTGTGGACCACCACCACCAACTTTTCCCCTGGTGAGTTCTAGGATCAAATTAATGTCTTGTGTTTCCAAGGCCAGCACTTAAATGACTGGACTATCTGCCCATCCCCTGGGTTTCAGTTTTTATCCATGTTTTGATTATATGCAGTGATATGTAGGGAGAGGTTTCATTCTGATGTTTTCATTCATAAACACAATGCTTTTAAATCACACCCCCTATTTCCCCTTCTCAGGTGCAAGTGAGTCTTGCCTGTCCCTTGCCTCTTTTGGACAAGCTCCCTCTGTCTTCCTGTGTACTGGGGACTCTGAGTTTCATCACAGTTGCTCACAGGAGCACGAGCACGGGCAACTTGCCAGAGGCTACAGTACTGAGGAAAATGTCCTTCCGCTCCTCATCAACCATTAATCAGGTATGACGCCTCAGGGAGAGGCACACAAGCATGGGCCCTCCCCTTCCACAACAGGGGAGGAATGGACCTAGAATCCAGGATTTTTTTAGTGTCCTAACATTTATTATTTTTGTTAGCTCAACGGGCACTTCATCCGATGTATTTTTTTTTTTTATCATTTTCACCTCTCTCACTCCATCCAGATCCACTCTCCTTCCCTGCCTACCCACCTCTGTATCCCCATTTTCCTTTTTCCCTCAAGTACAGATTGTTCTACCCATTTACTCCCGGACAAGTAGCCTTCTACTGGAGTGTGGTTGATCTACGAGGGGCCACACCCTTAAAGAGAACTGACTCCTTTTCCCAGCAGCTAGTGATTGCCACTAACTCAGCAGCTAGGGTGGGACTTTGTCCTCTCCTCCTCAGTCCGTGCTGGGATTTTGTCTGGCTTGAGCTTGTGCAGTGATTTTTAAACTTTATTATTTCATATTTTCACACTTATAAATAGAATATGCCTTCTTCATAATCCCCCTATTATTCTCTCTTATTTTCCTCAAGCTCTGGGCAAACTCCTCTTCCCAATAAGTCCCCCTCTTAAAAACACTCTCTCCCTCCCGTCCTTAACCCTCTCTTTTCTCTTCTCCTTCCTTATTTTTGCAGCCAACTGTATTTAATCAGGTCACTTGCCTTGTCATGGCCTTGGGCTAATATGTTTGACAAGGGTCATTTACTTTTGGCTATGGATGCACATGACTCCCCTTCCCGCCAACAACTATTAACTGCCTATAGTTCTTTAGGGAGGCATGGGCCTTATGAGCCGCTCTCTAATCTGTAATGGAAGTGCAATGGGGCCATGGGCTTTATATTTGAGAGCTGTCTTAGGTTCATACCAAAGTTGAGGAGGACTGGAATGCTGCCATATGCTTCATGTCCCTTCCCTGATGCCCCCCAATATCACCATCTACCAGCATTGCACACATATGACAATCGCTAAGCTACAGGGACATCCCGTTGCTACCCATAATCCATGGTGTGCCCTGGGGTGTATCTGAGGCTCATGACAAGTGTCTAATGACAGGCACCTGCCATTGCCTTGCCGGGGAGTGTTCCTACCGCCCTGAAAAACCTCATTCCCATTCTACTCCTCCTGCCCTGCAGTTCACACTTTGTCGACCTCTGATCCTCCCTGTTTGCTCTAGAAGGCGGGACTGGACTCCTAGAAGACAGGCGTGCATTTCTAGTGCTTCCATGTCCTTCATGGCTGGCCTCCTACTCTACAATGTCTCATCTCCAAATCTCTGCCAGCTTTCTATGCAGGAAGGAGATGTGGAAGCGTGGTTTGGAACCTCTTTTCCTGCCTAACCTGTGGAGAGTGGCGGAATGATGGTGGTGAGCCAGCCAGCTCAAGGGAGAGCTTGGCAGCAGTGGTGGTCCGCTCCTGCAGACTGGAGGCATGGCTGAAACCCACCTTTTCCCAGAGTCCTCCTCTGTCACCTCAGAGTGACCTAGAGTGTCCTTCTACCGCCCACTCAGCGCTTGCACTTCCGGCCTCTGTGTCGTCATAGCCCCTTGCACTCCCTACCAGCCACATCGGTGTCCAATCAGAACACACCTTGACTCTGCTCTGGATGCCTCTGCTCTCACTCAGTAGGGGCAACCGAGCCCCCACTGCTAGGGGAAGATTGTTCTACCCATTTACTCCCGGACAAGTAGC